AATACAAAAGGTGAACAAGTTGGCTTTATTTGGTTAATAAGACGGGACGATCTCGCTAAACCAAGTAGTTGGCATGATAAATGAAATCCCAAATAGAACACCAACGACACTATCGTGACGCCCTACAACTATGGATTCTACTAGGTATGGGGTCTGCTTTTCTTGTATAAAAGTGGCTTAACCTCGTTTTCGTGAATAGCATATTGTAAAGGGGACAGATGAACGTGTCTTGATTGGAGTCCTCTGACATGGTAGCCAGGCTAATTTGCACCGTGGGATCGTGGACCTTTTGCATTCGTGAGGTCCAGCGCTGGAAATTATCACAGCTACTATGGCAGAGACCTCAGGCAGGATGAATACACATGGGGCTTCCTGCCGATATGACCAAGGTTAGGAAACGAGGTCGAGCCACTTAATTGATGGAGTTTTGAGTATATGCAATATAGGCCTTATGCATAAGCGAAAAATCACTAAAGTAATAGTTTTAAAAGCGAGGCGAAGTCAGATACAGAATAGTCCTTTATATTCAAATACTCATAGCGAATGCATGCATAACTGATGAACACGAGACGATGGTAAAACCCAAGCAATTAGTTAACGAGGCACAGACGAAAGCGCTTGATCAAAATCTGGACAAGAGGGTAGCCTCAACAAAGATACAGATCATTCAGAAACCTAAAACAGTAGTGGAAACCTGCTGGACTGGCCATAATTAAACCAAATGCTAATAAAGATGCAATACTAAAGTAAGGGGATAATAATCAGGTAGCTATATTTATTAAATAAAGCACAAATAAATGCATTCTAGGCATGAAAGTATTTAAACGAATCCCATGTCGGAGCTTCCCTCACTCCCTATTCATGAATCACTAAATGATAAAGGGAAATAGCATAGAGTTATACTGAAAATAGTCAAAAAACTATCCACAAGCTAAAGCTTTATTATATATAAGTCTGAAAACAGAATCAATGGATGACAGGCGACTGGCTGACGGTATAACAGAGAAATAGAAGTAAATATATGCACACAAGGACTAGAAGGAGATATAAAAAAATAATCAAAAAACGTCACATTTCGCCTCATTTTCAGTCATTTTCTTGATTTCGGAACCAGAAAGGAACTTAATCGGTACGCCGGTCGTCCTGTACTCGGATCGTTTGGACAGATACTCTTCCTCCAACTTCCTGAAAGAATCTTTGTTTGTTACGTATCTGAATTGAAAAAAATAGTAGTTTATAGAGATGTACACAGTTCGTATGGCGTCTATACATGACTATATCTTCATTAAAAAGTTAGGAATATTAACCAAAGGAACGAGGCCGACTCCACTAATAATAAAGACCTAAGTAAGCAGAGCAGCTGTTCTCAAAATAAATTAAGTAAAGGATGAATTATTAGCTATATTTTGTGTTTTCGCACTTATAAAGTGAAAATAAAGTCAACTGAGCTGTTTATTATGGTAACTTTGATGTCTGAAACAGGTGATATCCAAATTGTTTTTGGTAGGGCACATTAAAATTAGATATGGAAAGATATTACCTTAATATGAAGTAAAAATGAATATAACGCATACTAACCGAAGCTGACAACTATTAACTATCTCAAATAAGTCTCTGCATCTAAGCGAGGGGAACCATTTATCACTATTTTTTCGAATACACTTTCGCCACAGTTTCCACTCATCAGCACAAAGCTCGGTTAACAACTTTTCGCGAATATAGTGAGAAAGCACATTTGAACGTTCAAGTTCAGAAATAAAATTGCTCTGAGGATCGCCCAGCCCGAGCGGCCCACCCTTGTAGGAAGAAACCATCAGCTCGCATAGAGCTCCTAAAAGCGAATAAATCAACGTTTAATTTCCACAGCAAATTTTCTTTTTATATGCTTATATTGCTAAATAAGAAGCTTACTTAATTAAATATACTCTTAATTTTTGTGGCTTGTGGCGCTAACTATGTTTGCGGCCCTACAGCGCGTCCAACCCATTTGCTTTATTTTGCCTCGGTTGCGTAACCCTTTCTGTTCTCTATTGCCTATCTTCCATAGACTCACATCCAAAGTTAAAGATGTAAATATAGCTTTAAATAATTGCTTACCAGGCGGAAGAAATAGACGAAAGAGATGTTTTATACAAAAGTGTCCAACTCGAAGTTCGAGGCCACGATCCAGCAGTTCTTAGTAGTTACCGCTCCTTTTTTACTACCGCTTGCACCAATCTGTCGATAGATCACCAAACGTAACGTCATCGTAATTTAATTTGCTAAGCGAGGTTCGCAACAGACCCATCTTTGACAGGTTTTCTTTCAATCGTTCCGTATTTATTTACAAAAAGCACCAAAGACAGTATGAGTTTAGAACACATGTACATTATTGGACGGTATGATTTTGATAATTACGCGTACTGTTTCAGATATTCAAGGTAACGGGTTGCACGGCTGACGTCTTACTCGAATATGTTCAACGCTTTATTCCCGAGGGTGTGGGAATGATTGTTACAAGGGTATGACCTTTGCTATTTTGCCAATATTATTTGCAAAAATTTGTGATTTGTGATTATTTAGAACGTTTACTCTCTACTGGCTAAGATAATGGACCAATCTCAAATTTTGTTAATCACTATTAAAACCATATTTTGAATCCACCGACTCGTTAAACCGTGTATTTGTGCGGATTTGCTTCTTTAATGTCCTTGCTGTCCGCTTTTACTTATCTTGGCTTTCACTTTGTCATATTCACTTTTCATATATATAATTTCTAAATTACTATCGGACTAAATAGGCATAATTCCACTCTAAAATCGCAATGGCTTATTTTAAACCTTATCCTCTACTTATTTTATTCTATTATTTCAACGAATCCTTAGTTAAAGATTCAATTCTGTTGATTTATCCGACTGGCCTATGGGGTTGTATGAGTAAGTTTTTTATCGTGTTGAAACTAGAAAGGCATATCTTGGTTCGCCAGTTATACTTAAAAAATTTTTGATCGGCTATTTATGTATTACGAACTTTGTCACTACTTAGTCATCGCTTACTATATGTTCGGGTAATTTATAAGCGACCCTTATCTTTCTGCACCATGGGCGTGTTTGAGCATGCTAATTGATTATATTTCTGGAGTTTGAAGTTCCATTTTGGAGAAGCCTTTATTTACATACAATAAATAGTGCACAATTCCACCACAAACCTACTTTGTTTGCTAACAACATTTTCGAGCCATCCAATTTTGATTCATTTGTTTGTAAGGTGTATTTGTGTCTTCAGATCCATCCTGCTATCTGCTATTAATTATTTTTAAATAATAATGTAGTTACTCCCTCGAAAGCTCCCCATAATCTAATGCTACTTTATTTTTATTTAAAATTCATTAATTTTAATCAACCTACTTTTGTTAGTTTTTGTCTTTTTCTTTCAGAACCGCATAGAGACTCTTCCAACTGCTATTAGAGACTCCATAAACCAAAGCCCGCCGTAAACTTATTCATATCTTGTTTTGAATGGATTAGCCTTAACATTTTACCTATATATTTTTATCTTTTGTGAATTAATCGATGATTACCCACCAAGGTTGACTAGTTAGCTTCCAACAAATGTGTGGAAATGTATGTCTTCTTTGGGCTAAACTTTTCTTAGATGTAAAGTACTAGGAACTGCAACAACTTTGTGTCAGTATATTACATAAATATTTCTCCTTTCCGCGTAATATGGTGCCAACCACCTGGAGCCTCATTATTACCTTCATAACCTTAAAAGAAATAGGTTGTATATAGCTCTTAATTATAAATATGCTTGAGATTATGTAAAGAATAAATGTGTTGCTTCATCTGCCTAAATCATGGAAGCAAGCATTTAAGATACGATGTTAAATTCAGGTGAAATATGAGGTATATTCATATTGTGGTAGGAAAATTTAACTACTAATCCTTCATCTTATACAACCTGGAGTGAATGTAGCTCTTACTTAAGATATACTGGTAGTCCCGAAACCTAATCAATTCCAGCTCTTGTATATTTTTTATTGCAATGATAATGCAAGTTATTGTATTCGCTTTCATGTGCACTGTGCGTATCGAATGATTGGGAGTCATGTAAGGTGTAAGCAATTTAACCAGGGTCGGGGTTAATTGACCCTCCTGCTCTGTGGTGCTTCCGGCTTCTCCATAAACCCGTCCAACATCCACATATAGTCTGACTCAATTTCCTGCACCTACTTATTTATCGCTTTGCTATTTTCTACGTCCATAAGCTCCCTGATATTACGCCTGTTTTTGGAATATCCATATCCTGTGAATTGTTTGGCTTTAGATCATTATCCGGTGCCATGCTTAGGTCATGTGTTCGTCCAATTCTGATTTTTGGACATACATGTTCGTGCACATACATATGCCTCCACGAGCACAAAACATTTTTTCAAGTCTGTTACACCTTTTCGTGTGGTAATGAATATGCTAGGGAGACTCCGACTCACATGAGGTTATATGAACATCGAACAATCTGCGTAGGTTTATGGATAAAAAGTCAAAATTTGCCGAAAATACCTTGAAGAGAACATCATAGACTAACATAAAGCTAAACGATTGACAGGGTATATAAATTTTAGAAATAAGCATGAGCTTGGGATGTGTGTAGAGATAAGATAAGTGAATACCCCCAATAGGTGGAACGCGCGTATGAAATTAAGTAAAAACTATCTGTGGCTATTTGGTAGGCTTAGGTGAAAGAAATGGGGAGTATTGCCAGACAAACTAAGCCTAGACTAGGCATAATACATTTCATATAACCCACGAGTATTTAATGCAAACGAATACAGCTGCATATGGAGAAAGGCTTGCTTAGAATAATCCCTAATAATTTTGTGTGACGACTTTATTTAATAGCCAAAGTTAGTTGGAAGTAATTCGTAAATTGGCCTCGCATGAACTAGACGGATGATTGCCTCGGGGTGGAGACTCTTGGATTGTACCAACTCGGCTCAAATCAACAACTGAGTAGTCTGTGCTGGTATTTCGTTCGTCACGTGGCAGGCCTCATCAAAAATGAGAAGAAAGAATAGTCTCCCGAAGACAGCCTCAGTATCATAAAGAAAGAGATAATAAAACCATTGCGAAATTGTTCTGATTAATTAGGATATTAGTCTCCGTTTCTCGACATCGAATTGAACGAGAGGGGTGTTTACGGCTGATGCCTCGGTTTTATAATCTTTATTAAAATATGTATAGAGCTAAAATAGGAGATATGAAATCGATGACGACATGAAGTCTGCGCT